TGTTGTTGTTTTTGTTGTTGGTGTTGTTGTTGTTGTTGTTGTTGTTGTTGTTGTTGTTGTTGTTGTTCTTGTTCTTGTTCTTGTTCTTGTTCTTGTTCTTGTTCTTGTTCTTGTTCTTGTTCTTGGTGTTGTTGTTGTTGTTGTTGTTGTTGTTGTTGTTGGTTGTGGTTGTGGTTGTTATTTTGTTGTTGTTGTTGTTGTTGTTGTTGTTGGTGGTGGTGATGTTGGTGTTGGTGTTGGTGTTGGTGTTGGTGTTGGTGTTGTTGGTGTTGTTGTTGTTGTTGTTGTTGTTGTTGTTGGTGTTGTTGTTGTTGTTGCCGTTGTTGTCGTTGTTGTTGTTGTTGTTGATGTTGATGTTGTTGTTGTTGTTGTTGTTGTTGTTGTTGTTGTTCTTGTTCTTGTTCTTGTTCTTGTTCTTGTTGTTGTTGATGTTGCTGTTACTGTTGCTGTTGCTGTTGCTGTTGCTGCTGTTGCTGCTGTTGCTGTTACTGTTGTTGTTGTTGTTGTTGTTGTTGTTGTTGTTGTTGTTGGTTGTGGTTGTGGTTGTTATTTTGTTGTTGTTGTTGTTGTTGTTGTTGTTGTTGTTGTTGTTGTTGTTGTTGTTGTTGTTGTCGCCATTGTTGTTGTTGTTGTTGTTGTTGTTGTTGTTGTTGTTGTTCTGATTGTTCTTATTTTTCTTCTTGTTCTTCTTGTTCTTCTTGTTCTTCGGGTTATTCTTGTTTGTTTTGTTCTTCTTGTTTTTCTTGTTCTTCTTGTTCTTCTTGTTCTTCTTGTTCTTCTTGTTCTTCTTGTTCTTCGTGTTAATGTTAGCACTTGATTAATAAAGGGCCCCCCCCCTGAACAATGGAAGCGCCAAAACAATGGGGGTGCACTTTTGGGACGTCCAAACAATGGAGGATTTTGGGGCCCAATTCTACTTTAGTATTGCAGCCACTTCCTTTTTGCAATTCTACTGTAGTATTGCAGCCACTGCCTTTTTGCAATTCTACTTTAGTATTGCAGCCACTTCCTTTTGGCAATTCTACTTTAGTATTGCAGCCACTTCCTTTTTGCAATTCTACTTTAGTATTGCAGCCACTTCCTTTAGTATTGCGGCCACTTCCTTTTTGCAATTCTACTTTAGTATTGCAGCCACTTCCTTTTTGCAATCCTACTTTAGTATTGCAACCACTTCTTCCTGAGCAGACTTTTTGGAATACTACTTTAGTATTGCAACCACTTCTTCCTGAGCATACTTTTTGGAATACTACTTTAGTATTGCAACCACTTCCCTTTCAGTTCTTTCTGTAGCCATTCAAAGGGGATGCTTTTAAGCAAGTGGGCCACCAATTGAAAGGGGAATGCTTTTGAGCAAAGCAACTGATAGCTTATTTTCTGGGAGGGGGGGCTGGGGGCTTAAACAATCACATTATTGTGGTTCAGTGGTGTCTGTGAGGGGTACCCTTGTCCTGATTGTTTTTTGGCAATTTTTTGGCACGGTTTAATAAAGAGTTTGCAGTTTCAGGGCTGGGGGTGGTTTTCAAATTTCAGAGTTTCAGCTGGCTTTGGGTTCTGTGGTTGAGCAACCAATTGAAAAGGGAATGCTGGTAAGCAAGTGGGCCACCAATTGAAAGGGGATGCTTTTAAGCAAGTGGGCCACCAATTGAAAGGGGAATGCTTTTGAGCAAAGCAACTGATAGCTTATTTTCTGGGAGGGGGGGCTGGGGGCTTGCCACTATTGTGGTCCCCTAAAACAATCACAATATTGTGGTTGAGTGGGGTCTGTGAGGGGTACCCTTGTCCTGATTGTTTTTTGGCAATTTTTTAGCACGGTTTAATAAAGAGTTTGCAGTTTCAGGGCTGAGGATGGTTTTCAAATTTCAGAGTTTCAGCTGGCTAAGGGTTCTGTGGTTCAGCTTCTTTGGTATGGGGTCAACATGGATTTTGGGTGATTGTTAAACCTAAAATTGTTTTGTGGATATTTTTTGGAATTTTCCCCCCGGGCAAAAAAACTTTCAATTATTCTGGTCCCCCTAAACAATGGGTGCGAACCAGAATAAGGAAAACAACTTGACATTATTCAGCACCACTTGATTAATCAAGTGTTAACATTATTCTTGTTTGTCTTGTTCTTCTTGTTCTTGTTGTTATTGTTATTATTCTTGTTCTTCTTGTTGTTTTTGTTGTTCTTGTTGTTCTTGTTGTTCTTGTTGTTCTTGTTGTTCTTGTTGTTCTTGTTGTTATTATTGTTCTTGTTGTTCTTGTGGTTCTTGTGGTTCTTGTTGTTCTTGTTGTTCTTGTTGTTCTTGCTGTTGCTGCTGCTGCTGATGCTGAAGCTGTTTCTGTTGTTGTTGTTGTTGTTGCTGCTGCTGCTGATGCTGGAGCTGTTTCTGTTGTTGTTGCAGCTGTTGTTGTTGTTGTTGTTGTTGTTGTTGTCGTCGCCGTTGTTGTTGTTGCAGCTGGTGCTGTTGTCGCTGTTGTTGTTGTTGCTATTGCTATTGCTACTGCTATTGCTACTGCTGTTGCTCCTGTTGCTTCTGTTGCTGCTGCGGTTGCTGTTGTTGGTTGTTTGTTTCTTTGTTTCTTGTTGCTGTTGTTGTGGTTGTTGCTTTCGTTGTTGCTTTCGTTGTTGCTTTTGTTGTTGCTTTCGTTGTTGATGTTGTCGGTGGTGTTGTTGTGTTTGGTTTTGTTTGTTGGTGCTGTTGGCGTTGTTGGTGTTGTTGTTAGTGTTGCGTGTGTTGTTGTGGCTGTTGTTGTAGTTGGTGGTGTTTGTGAAGCGGCTGTTGTTGTTGTTGCTGTTGTTGCTGCTGTTGTTTACTGTTTCTGTTGCTGCTGCTGTTGTTGTTGTTGTTGTCGTCGTCGGTGTTGTTGCTATTGTTGGTCTTGGTATTGTTCTTGTTGTGGTTGTCGTTGTCGTTGTTGTCGTTGGTGTTGTTGTTGTCGTTGTCGTTGTTGTCGTTGTTGCTGCTGCTGCTGATGCTGCTGATGCTGCTGATGCTGAAGCTGTTTCTGTTGTTGTTGTTGTCGTCGTCGTCGTCGTTGTTGTTGCAGCTGGTGCTGTTGTCGCGGTTCTTGTTGCTGTTGCTGTTGCTGATGTTACTGATGTTGCTGCTGTTGTTGCTGCTGCTGTTGTCGCTGTTGTTGTTGTTTTTTTGCTATTGCTATTGCTACTGCTATTGCTACTGCTGTTATTCCTGTTGCTTCTGTTGCTGCTGCGGTTGATGTTGTTGTTTGTTTGTTTGTTTGTTTGGTTGTTTGTTTGGTTGGTTGGTTGGTTGGTTGTTTGTTTGTTTGTTTCTTGTTGCTGTTGTTGTGGTTGTTGCTTTCGTTGGTGCTTTCGTTGTTGCTTTTGTTGTTGCTTCCTCGTTGTCGATGTTGTCGGTGGTGTTGTTGTGTTTGTTTTTTGTTTTTGGTGCTGTTGGCGTTGTTGGTGTTGTTGTTAGTGTTGCGTGTGTTGTTGTGGCTGTTGTTGTAGTTGGTGGTGTTTGTGAAGCGGCTGTTGTTGTTGTTGCTGTTGTTGCTGCTGTTGTTTACTGTTTCTGTTGCTGCTGCTGCTGTTGTTGTTGTTGTTGTTGTCGTCGTCGTCGGTGTTGTTGCTATTGTTGGCCTTGGTCTTGTTCTTGTTATTGTTCTTGTTCTTGTTCTTGTTGTGGTTGTCGTTGTTGTCGTTGTTGTCGTTGTTGTCGTTGTTGTTGTTGTTGTTGTTTTTGTTGTTATTGTTATTGTTATTGCTGTTGTTGTTGGTGTTGTTGTCATCGTCGTCGGTGTTGATGTTTTCGGTGGTGTTGTTGTGATTGTTTTTGGTTGGTGTTGTTGGAGTTGTTGGTGTTGTTGTTAGTGTTGCATGTGTGTTGTTGTGGCTGTTGTTGTAGTTGGTGGTGTTTGTGAAGCGGCTGTTGTTGTTGTTGCTGCTGTTGCTGCTGTTGTTTACTGTTTCTGTTGCTGCTGCTGCTGTTGTTGTTGTCGTCGTCGTCCCCGTTGTTGTTGTTGTTGTTGTTGTTGTTGTTGTTGTTGTTGTTGTTGTTGTTGTTGTTGTTGTTGTTGTTGTTGTTGTTGTTGTTGTTGTTGTTGTTGTTGTTATTGTTGTTGTTGTTCTTGGTCTTGGTCTTGGTCTTGTTCTTGTTCGTTGTCGTTGTCGTCGTTGGTGTTATTGTTGTTGTTGTCGTTGTTGTCGTTGTCGTTGTTGTTGTTGTTGTTGGTGGTGGTGGTGGTGGTGGTGGTGTTGTTGGTGTTGTTGGTGTTGTTGGTGTGGTTGGTGTGTTTGGTGTTGTGGGTGTTGTTGGTGTTGTTGGTGTTGTTGGTGTTGTTGATTGGTGTTGTTGGTGTTGTTGGTGTTGTTGGTTGGTGTTGTTGATGTTGTTGGTTAGTTGGTTGGTTGGTTGGTTGGTTGGTTGGTTGGTTGGTTGGTTGGTTGGTTGGTTGGTTGGTTGGTTGGTTGTTGTTGTCGTTGTGGTTGTCGTTGTGGTTGTGGTTGTGGTTGTGGTTGTGGCTTTTGTTGTTGTTGTTGTGGTTGTTGTCGTTGTGGTTGTTGTCGTTGTGGTTGTTGTCGTTGTGGTTGTCGTTGTGGTGGCTGTCGTTGTGGTGGTTGTGGTTGTGGTTGTAGTTGTGGTTGTGGTTGTGGTTGTGGTTGTGGTTGTGGTTGTTGTGCTGTGTATGTGTGTTGGTGTGGCTGCGTGTATGTGTGTGTGTGTGTCTGTGAGTGTTCATGAGTGTGTATTTGATGTGTGTGTGTATGTTTGACAGTACCCTACCTGAATTTTTCAGGGTTTAACCCAGATTCATTTTGGCACCCCACGTAGGCCGGCTGCATCGCTGCCATGATCCTCCTTGCCATATCCTACGATCTTTTGCCCCCAGAGCCACCGCTGGAGCGAAAGCCGAAAGCCGAAGTGGTTGCCTTTGGCTGACGTTTGACGTCGACTTCTGGTTTGTTTTTGGTGGACTTTGAGAGTATTCATTCATCCATCTTGGGGTTTCCTCAGTTGAATCATTCATCCATCCGGTCCTTTGGATTTTGGATTGGACTTTATGCCCTAGAAGAAAGTCAGCAGAGTGCCAGCCCGTTATGGAGAGAAAAGCTGAGGGACGGCCTTTGGTTTCCCCGTAACTGCACATTTTGCACAGCGATGCCAGACGTCATGACCCACGTGTCAGCAACGCGGATGCTGACGCTGTAAGACATTTGGGCTGGGTCAGGGGCCTTGGTGCCGAAGCAGCATGCCCGTTGTTACTAACTGTGTTGGCAGGGTGCCTGCGGATTGTGCTGATGATGCCGCCGAACTGCTGCTTACGGAGGGCGTGCGAATGATGCCGATGACGCCAGGGTATGGCTGAGTGACAAGGGGCCTGGGCCCGCAGATGATGCTGATGATGCAGGGCTGGCGTGGTGTGGGCGGTGACATGGCTCACCGAGGGTGGTCTTTTGTTGGCAGAGGGCCCGCAGACCAGGCTTATGATGCCGGGGTGGCACAGACTGCGCCATTGTTTAGGTACGCCATCTTGGAGGTTGAAAGCGGACAGCCACCTGCGTGAGGCTCAACATTTGCAGTGGTCTATGGTCCAGTGCAGGGTTCAGAACATGGGAGGCCCGGCCGAATGTCCTACGCAAATCAACGGGAATCACTCGTTTCCCATAATGACCTTCACAAGTACGGCAAAGTTTGACCGTGGCTCATGGAGCAAACTGCGAGCAAGTCGTGCATCTCCTGCTTTTCCAGCAAGGGGCGGACTCAACCGGAAATATGAAGATGACGGGTGAGCTCAGCCTCCCGAATTCTCCGGCGCCGTTGTCAATTTGACATTTCGGGAAGGGCTTGTGACCGCTGCCGCCCTCAAGGAGTTCCAGGTGGTGAGCTCGCTGGTCTTTTGGTCGGGCCTCTTCTTTGAGCTCTACTTCTGGGGATTCATGACCTGGATGCTAGGCCAAAACTAGGGTCTCCTCTCTGAAGCTATGTTATGCTTTGCAGTTGTTTGCAGACTAGATAGTATGAATGAAACAGAATCGTTCTTTTCTGTGTACCCCAGGTGCGTGTCAAGAAAGCCTATTGAATTCAACTTCTGGGTTTTCACTGAGGTTGTCCTTTCTCAGCTTCGTGCTTCGTTGATGCGTAAGTAGTTCCTTATGTTACTTTGTTAGCCTGTGCCAGGTACAGCACTTACCTGTTTGGCTGTTTGGCGTCATTTTCCTTTCTTGCTTGTATACAGCTTGTAGCTTGCCTTTTTGCAACTGTTTGCTTCTTTGGAGTTCGGAATGTTTTTTCCTTTTGGCCGAGACCGCCAGTGGCCGTCCCTTGAAAATCAGCCAACCAAGCCTCTGTTCCACTGTAAAATGTTCCTGGAGGCGGGGTTGGTTTGCCTTACTGTTCCCAGGTTCGCATGGCACACAACCTGACGTTCAACGGTGTGCTTCTCCAAAGTTGGTCTCGGTTTTCGGTTTTCAATCTGGGTTCCCTTTAAACCAAGGTTGAACGGCGCACCTTGAAACAAGACACTCGCCCACTGCCTGACCGGCTGAGGACCTTGGGGGATCTGGCGTGCGAGGTTGAGAAGGCGCACGCGGTGTCCAAGGATGAGGACAACGCGGCCTTCCGAGCCAGCAGGATGGGTTGGAGCAGACTCGCAACTCTTTGCTTGGGGGCAGGTGGGGCGTTTGAACTCGGGTTTTTTGGGGAGTTTGGGGGTGTTTGGGTGTTTGATTGTTTGCAATTTGCTTGTCTTCTTGAAAATCTGTGTTGTTTTCCAAGCCAGCAAGCTTGGAGGGCAGGATGCGTTGTGGCAAAAGTCCGAAGCTCGCCGAAGCATCGTGTTTCCGGTCGAGTAGGCTCACTCCCTGAGTTGCTGGCTTTGTACTTTTTGGGGCAACCGTTTCAGCGGCCATTGCAAAGGTCCAACTCTCAACTTATCGTGGGATTGGCACAACGACCTACTGTAAATTTTATTGAAGGACACCTGGGAGCAGAATTCTATATATATATTTGTTGGGGGGGGAGGCCGGGAGGGCTGGGTGGTTTGAACATCACAAAGTTGGTTCGCTGCAGAAGTCCAAGGGAACGAGCGACTACGTCTCTTGAAAAAGCGACATTGGAAAGGCCGTTTTCCCAGGGGCCTTGCAGAAGTGGAAAGGCAATTCCCACGATGCCTGGAAATCTGAAGTGAAGTTGAAGCACATCCCATGAGACGGGAAACCAGAAGGAACCCCTTTCAGGGGATCCAATGAAAAGAAGAGCTCTTTTTTTTCCGAGGTTCGGGCTAGGAAAGAGTCCTGCAATATGGACAGGCCACCTTATGTTTCCAGGCACTTGGACCGAGGCCTGCTCAAAGAGAATCCTGAATACTTATGTGTTCCTTGTGTGTTGATGTTTGCAGCATCTTTTGGTAGCCACTATTGTTTGAGTTTCACTTGGTGGGGTTTCCTTAGGGGGCGTATAATCTGCAAATTAGCAACCCGTTGTTTTCACTCTCCCTAGCTTCCTTTGAGAAGAGGCGTTTGCCGGTTTCCATGTCAATTTGCAGGGGAGTAAATGGGTGGGCCTTGTGGGGTCGTGGAAACGAGAAGCCAAGGGAAAACCCGCCCATGGACAGGTTCCCGCCCCGTTTGGCCGCTAGCGGCTTAGCGCAGGAGGGTGCGCACCTGCCAGCGAAGCGTCATGTTGGTGTGCTTCGCCCGGATCTCCAACACCGTGGCTCAGACAGATCTGAATCACCTGCGCCTTTCAAACAAAGACTCTTGCCAAATCTGTTTCCAGCGGATTTGGCTCATGATGCCCCATGCCTTTGCCAGCGCATTTTCGTGTATGCTTTCTGGAGCGGAAGTTCTATACCACTTATACTGCCTTGGCTTACTTTGATAACGGCCGCACCTCGAAACCCCATACCCGAAAGTGTCCTCTGGAAAGGCCCACATTTTGCTCTTCGCGGGCTATCTTTGGCCGATCCCTGCCTCTTTGCGCAAAGACGTGTACCGCATCACTGGGAACAGCCACGCCGCCTACCTCTTCGTAGACTCCGGGCTTTGGGCCAACGTTGCGAAACTGGGTTTAGCATGCTTCGCTTTTTTTCTTGTTTGGTTGTGAGGTTTTGCAGTCTGTTGACTGGAATTGGGCATTATTTTTGCAAATTGATGTGTTTTGTGTTTTGTTTTGCTTGTTTGGTTCTCAACTCATGTTTATGCTTGTTTGGTTTTTGGTTCTGTCCATGTTGAAGTATGTTGCTTCGTTGTGTTTGTTTTTTTCTGGTTGTTGCCTCCGGTGGTTGGCCTGCGAAACTGCAACGGTGTTTGTGAAGGGGAAAGAGCATGCCAGCAAAACCCAGAGCGGGAGCCTTCTTTGAAAGCCATTCCGTGTGGCAGAACGGGAACGCCTCTTACGCTGACAGACGTCAACCCCGACCTTGAAGTACTCCCCCGAAACCCGAGTCCAAAATGCTTACCGACTGTGCAAAGACAATGATTTGGTTCGGGGCTGGAACTTGCATGCGGCCCCCCCCTTTGCGTGTTTGCGACTCCGCGCCTCTATGTACCATATATGTAGCACCCTTTCTTTGGATGGTAGTCAGCTTAACCTTTACTGCCCCAGAAAATGAGGAGCTCTTTGCAGGTGGTCCCGACGACCCCCTCCCAGGGTGCCTGAAGAACTTGTTCTGCAAACCAGCCATTGTATGTGTGGCAAGAAGTTCCATCGATGGTGAAATGAGTTAAAGTCCGGGCTGAACTGAAGTATGAGTATGAGGGACCCTTCGGAAGAGTTTCAGTGAGGACCACTTCCTTTGCATAGATTCAAGCTTCCCCGCGGCACCTTTGGCACCTTTGGTGGGCTTCCCTGGTTTGGGTCTTAAGTATCCACTTTGAAGGGTGTTGTGTTCCCTGAAAATCATAGCCCAGGTCAGCCCTGATGTTCTGGCTCCCGGGCCCGGACTTTCTGTCCATGAATCCCCCGAAACAGGACCCCCCAAACCTGAAGATCCATCCGCGTGGCGAGCTCGCGCAAAACGAGCTCATGCTTGGGGGCCGTTAGTATCGTTAGTGTTGCAAACACCATGCCTGAGGTGTGGTACCTGACTATTACGCTGAGCTGCCTAGTGATCTTTGGAGCGCCCTGGGCGGCTAAGGCTTTGAAGGACGCGCGGTCGCCTTGGGCCGTAGAGACTCCCCGTGGGTGCTTCGCTGTTTCTCAAAACAGGGGTCCCCGAAAATTAAGCGCCAACATCGCCAGCATGAAAAGGCATGTAACATTTTAGGAAACTGCCTTGTAAAGCAGGTGGTTTTTGGATGTATCCTGCCGGAACCCTGCAAGGGGCCATTTTCCAAGACCTTGCAACCAGAACCTTGGGGATTAAACTGCCATGGTCATGGTTTTGGGAAGCCTGAGAATCATTGAATGGGACTCCCAGAAAGAAGGGTGGCATTTGGAAGGCCTGGTTGTAGTGCGTGTGGTTCAAGTAACCCCGACATATTTGTGCTTTGGATTGGTGGGTTTGGATTTGAATCCATGGTTGCAGAGGCTAAAATTTACTAAATTGGAAGCCTCCCAGCTAAGCACCACCAACCCAAACCAGCAAGTAGAGGGATGCTGACTTGTTCAGTCATAGCCGCCGGGCTCTCGTCAATGAGCAATGGATCCACCATCTTTCCAAAATCGGGATGTTGGAGGCTGCCTTGGGTTTCTTCATGTGAACGTCACTTGGGATGGGACTCCCACCCAGGCATAGCAGAAGCACGGCCCACTCCAAACCCCAACACCTGAACCAGGGATGCTCCCCCCAAGCAACAGGGGCTAGAGACTTCGGAAACATGATCCAATGTTTTAATGTGCGTTTGGTCCACCCCCACAACCATATTGTGATGATTTGGTTTTAGTGCCACCCAAGTTGGGTGTTCTATTTTTTGCGGGAGATCAATGGTAAACCACAAGTTTTGACTTTTTGTTGGGCCAACCATTCGGGAAGTGACAAAAGCCTCAGCTTGTTTGCACTCTTCCACGTTCCATTGAGCCTCCGACCGGGAGAGCTCAATGCCAACCACCTCGAAGCAGTCGCGATCAGCACCCTCCCTTGCTCTTACATGGCACGTGACAAGGGATTGTGAGTACCCTGCCCTGCGACGGGTGCCTTCTGGGAGGGAATGAGCTCAAAGTCGCTGAGACAAAGTAGTCCTCTGCGAATTGACGAGAGGCCCCAAGCCTGAATTGCTGGATGAATCTCAACTTGGAACCTACAAAAATACACTATTCTTCGGAGGACTCTCCTTTTGCGGAAAGGGGAAAGGGGGAAAGAGTGAATCAAAGGGACGACGCCCCCAACTGATCCAAATGCTGGTCAACCGATGAAACTGTGACTCGGCCAAAGGCAAATTGGGACCCAACCGCCTCTCCAGGACGAGGAGGAGCGCCGCGCAGCCCGGCGCAAGCAGCGCCAGGCCTCCTACGTCAGCAACCCCGCAGCTTGGCGAAGCGGTGTAGGTCTGCTTGCTCACTCGCTGCCAACTCGGCACTTCTTACCTGAGTTGGTGCTCTTTAAACCTTGTCTTGGCTTTGTGACTTTTAAGCTTTAAGTCAAGCCCAAACAAGTTGAGCTTGTTTTGACCAGTCAACCCAGCAGGTCAGATCTTTGACAATTTACCCAAAGGGTCGCCAAACGGGGATGAGTATGTTTAAAGAACAGTGTCACTCCCTGCAAATAGACCTAGAGCCCAAAAACTTAAGTTTCCCGAAGGGAGATCCCTCTAAATGTGTTGGGTGTCATGTTCATCACGACTGTAGCGGTTTCTCCCAAAGGTACCTCGGCCAAGGGGAAACTTCCCAACTTTCCCTTTTTTGGCCTTGAGCGAAAGGGACTTTCCTCAAGGTGGGGTGATGTTGAAAGGGGCAATATCAACCCTGAAGATGCTTGAAGAGCACTAAATTTAGCTTGCGGTTTGAGAGCAAATGAGGCAATGCAAGGCGTCCAAGTTTGTCTTGTTCGGCTTGTCAGGGACAAACGATGTAGCTTCATGGCCATCTGCACTTGGCCAAAGCCCGCGTTTCAATAGGTCGGTACGCATCGCCGATCGTTTTGGACTGAGTGATCTGAGTGAGCCTCATGTGTTTGTGCCTTTGTGTTTGTGGCTGTGGTTGTATTTGTGGTATTTTGTGGTCGTGGTTGTGTTTGTGCGTTTCGTTCTTCGAGGGTCGAGGGTACCCACATTTTTTTGCCTTTCGAGGCGGATGACTGGCAGCGGCAGGTGGAGGATTTAGCCCGGCGCGCCATCACCTTGGACGCGCTGCTGCGCTTCTACCAGGGCCTCGGCAAGGAGACGCTCCGAGCTCCGGGCCGGAGGCGTCCAGGTGCTGGTCCCAATGGACCTGGGATCGTGTAGAGGAGTCTCCTTTTGGGGCACCCCCCGTTTGGGTTCCATCGTACTTGCGAAGAGTGTGCACACTTGCAAGTTTGATGTTGTAAGCCACTGTTTAGACACTGACTAGGATGCCAGCTGAATGGACCCAGTGTTTGGCAATGCTTCATGTTTTTGGTCAAGATCCTTTCATGTGCCACTCCTGGAGCCAGGTTGCTGGGGGAAGGAAGGGGCGCATGTTTTGTTCTTTGCAAAGCGAGGTACCAAAAACAGCTATGGTTGCCTTAAATGTGTTTGGAAGTTTGGTTCCTTCTCAACCTGCCTCCTCTTTTCTCACCCCATTCCTGGTTTCATTCTAATCAGCTCTCCGGCCGGTATTGCAGAGGATTGTTGGGGCATCACCCCACGCCATAGAAAACTGACCCTTTTCTCCAGCTGGTTGGGGGGGGCCCAATTAGTATCCAAATCGGCTTGGTGGAGCAGACAAGAGTTCTATGGAACTGGTTAGCTTGCACGGGACGGGGGTTCGGAGCCCCACCGAAGGAGTACATGACCCACTTCGACCCCTCCTGGCACACCACAGACGACATCGTCCGCCAGGTGATCATCCCCTTGTCCCATTGCCAAACTTACCAGTTTTGCGCAAGGCCTTTTTGGGTTTCGTTTGCTTCATTCCCTTTGCTGGTTGTGATGTGTTTGGAAAAGTGAAAGACTGAACTGGCTTCCCTGATCGGGACCCTGCCAATTCATTCCCACTCGGAAGTTCCTTGGCAAAATGAAGGGTTCCCTCATAAATGGGCACCCCCCAATCAATATGCGGACCCAGGATCCACGGGGCTGGATTGATTGGAGTGTCCTTCTTGAGGGACACCTCAAAGCCAACCCCCGAAGTGAAGAGGATGAAACTGTGAATGTGGCAGCCAATGTGCATGAATGCCGCTCGCCTTGTGTGCCCAAGCGGGCCCCTTGAGTCACTTTCCTTTTCAGACGCGCTGGATGGCGCTGGCAAAATGAGCGCGCTGCTCTGAGGTGGCAGCGATCCCTTGCAGCTTTTCGTTGTCACAAGTTGGCAGCGGAGCCGCGGTCCGGGGCAAATGCCCAATTGGCCAAGCGGCCCACAACAGGGGCGTGAGAGCACTCCCGAGGTACCCTGGCCTTCGGCCCCGGGTGAAGGTGAGAGGCTCCCCCCTGGAGCGACGGTTCGTCAATCTGAAACCGCTACCACTGCGCCACTACATGCTGCAGGTCCCCAAGGGCCAGGACGTCATGCTGACGGGAGGCCTCAGGGTGTCGACCTACCGCTCGACGAGGATGACGAGTGGAACCTTTCGGGAGATCTTGGAGCTTCTGACCATCTCGGAGGCTCGGAAACCCCTGGAGGGAGCGGACCGGAACATCCAGGACTCTATACAGCTGCCGACGGCCCTGGCAATCCTGGATGGAACGATCAGGGATATCATGGACGTGATGCCTTTGCTCATGGCCCTGGTGTTCCTGATGGGCAAGATGGAGAACAACATGATGGTTACCAACGATGGCTGCCGCCGAGGAGCTCACCAGCGAGACACCTGCAACATGGTAAAGGCTCTCATCATGGACCTGTACCACCAAGCAGGAGCCAGCAAGGTGAGAGAAACGAGCGGTGGCTGTGCTTCAGATGTGGATCACCCAAGCTCATGTGGACTCGGGCAACTGGTTGGTCATGCAATGCCTGCGGAAGCAATGAGGTCTATAACCCGAACAACGTCTACAGACAACTGCAAGCAACAGGCACATGGATGTACATCCCCCATCACGGAGATCGACTACCTGACCAACCAGGTGAACCTCAACCACCAGGTCCTCCTCCAACCGGCAATCCCCATGCGCAACCAGCACAAGCACGCACAGGGAGAACTCGCACCCGGCGGAGGCTCGCACGTCCACCCCCCGCAGGCGGACCAAACATGGATGAGACCGCAGAGAGCGAGACCCCAACAGAGGATCCGGAGGTGAGTGTGTCGCAACGCGGCTCACAACATGGACATGGTGGAGATGATCACGATCAAGCCAAGCCCGCAGCTCTTGTGGGCGTTCCTCTGGACCGGCCCAGGCTTTGCAACGCCTCCTCAAGAAGAAGGACAATGATGACACCTCATCCTGGTGCTCGGCAAGAGGACCACAGCGAGGAGTCCGTTTTCGAGGAGGTACCGCACCGTCACCACCGACATGGAAGTATGTGCCCGGCGACTTGAGGTCTTTCGACCGTTTTGAACACAAGGTGAAGGTGTGGCAGTTGCAGATGAAGCAGTACATGACAGATGCTGAAGCTACACGAGCTTGCAGGGAGAGGCAGAGCTCGAAATGGAGAATGTAGACATGAAGCGCATCCACGCCAAGGACGGAGTGGAGTTCATCCTCAACCGCCTACGGTCAGCCTTCAAACACAAAACGGTCTACGTCAAGCGCCACCTCCTCCACGAGTATGAAAACGTCGCCCGGTACTCCAACGAGAGCCTTCGGACTTATATCAATAGGTATAAGCGCACGGAGGGCAGCTTACGAGCCGTGGGGGTGGACGTGACCTTGACCTACGACAGTGAAAGCCGTGGTTCCCGGTTGTTGGATAGGTCGAAGCTTTCCTACGATCAGCAACGGTTGGTCCTGGTCAGCACCAACCAGAGCCTGGACTTCGAGATGGTGGCGTCAGCCTTGACCATGCACTTCCCAGAGTACAGGGCACCGCCACCGCTGTTCCAGCCCTACAAGGAGAGACCGAACCCCAAGGGAGCCGGCAAGCAGAACTTCGGAACTTCATCAGACTCGAGCTCTATGGCAACTTCCTCGTCAGCACCCTCATTTCAGAAAGGATGTGCAAAAGGCGGCTTTCGCCCTCGAAAAGTCTTCAACACAGAAGTCGAGAACCCAGAGTTTGAGGGCGAGGAGAACCCTGAGGACGGCGACGAGGACCTTGACGTCATTCCCGAGGGTGACCACGAGGACGATGAGAACGATCCTGAAGGTGACCAGGGCGAAGACCAGGACGACCACACGGACGACCTTGCAGAGCTCGCCCAGGTGCTGACAGTGACCGCACGCAAGCTCGCCAGCGTTACTCAAGGACGCAAGTACTCAGGCCAACCCCGCAAGAGCCTGGCAGAAAAGAAACGCACGAGCCATTGTGCCGCTTGTGGCGAGCAGGGCAGGGGATGATGAGTGCAAGGCCTCGAGCTCCGTCAACCAGAACACCTAAACGGGCAAGGACAAGGGCAAGGGCAAGGGCAAGAACAATGGCAAGAGCGCCCCTGCCAAGAAGGTGTTCACGATCCGTCATGGCAGTGGTTTTGATTCTGTGGTGGAATACCCACCCGCGGATGAGACTTTTCCAAGATCAAGAGGGCCCGCAAAAGTCACACTTTGCGATGGTGGTTCACATGGCCAACTCCTTTGAATGCACGCAGGCAGTTCACGAGGCGGTAGGATTCATGATCCTTGACACCGCATGCCAGAGGGAGTCGCAGGAGAAGTTTCAGTTTGGTTCCGGACAGCCCCTCATTTCAGAAAGACACGTGTTTCTCCCCGCGGGTGTCAACGGCAAGTTCCTCGGTAGTTTTCGATTGCTTGAGCAGTTGGGTGGCATCCTGGACATCCCCAAGCAGAAGATCTTCTTTACCAAGTTGGGGTGCCACGTGCAATTACATTTCATTGGGGGTCACATGGGCATCAACATCTTGGAGTTCCCCCCTCACATCAACAAGTCAGACGTCTGGTTGCAGATTCAGAATCAGGGCCTCCAAGATCCTGAAATCAATGTGCCGGTGGCCACCGCAGCGGCTCAGACCAATTCGGAGCCCCAGGACGTCCTGACCACCTCCAACACGCCAGCCCATGTTTCGCGAGGAAGTCAGCGAGAGACGATGGTCATCAATGGTCAGACACATCCTCAAGATGTACCGAGTGGTGTGGCGGAACATGAGGGTGGCAGCAAGGCTCGGCATCATTGCCTACAGCCTCTACGACAAGATGGTCTTGAAGGATGGTCTGGAGGACAACAAGAACAGAAAAGCGAAGAGCCAGCTGAGCGAAAACATGCAGATGGCTCAGGCAAGATGCTCTCACCCGGCATTCCGCCGGTACGGCAACAAGCACGGCAGCGTCGCCGCATGCAACCCACAGCCGAGATGGTCGGCAGAGGCGCTACTCCCGGCTGGAAGTTGGATGGGTTTTGCTCCAACTTGCTGCTGCCGCAGCCGTCAGCCTTGACAACGGTGGATGGGAGCATCGCGCCAATGGTGGCTGGGGGAGTGGTCAACAGTCCCAGGATACCCGTGGCCGGAAGCAAGGGATCCCCGAGCCTCACACGTGCCGCTTCCGGATCGGCTGGCAGAACCCAGGTTCTCCAAAGCACCACCGCCGAACCGCAGATCGAGAGCGCCATCTATGACATCTTCGGCGGCGGGCCATGGACTCACGGCGGATCAGCTTCAGGATCACGACTACACCATGGAGGAATACCAACTGTCGGAACCGGGAAGCTCCTTCCGCCTGCTGGATGGAAGCGGGGGACCTTGAAGCGCATCGGCGGGGAGACCAACAAGAGCGTGAACATCCTACAACATGAGCGTGATGTTCTCGATGCACTTCCTGCATGGCATGATCGCGAGCACTACACGGACCTCATGGAGCTCTACAGCGGCGAAGCAGGTCCGACTGTCTTGGCTAGACAGTATGGGCTGACGGCAGTTCAACCCTTCGACAAGAACGAGGGCTACGATCTCAATTATGAAACAACAACGCAACGGAACTGGAACCTGCTCAACGAGAACGCCAACTATAAGCGCCGCATGGAGGTGTTGGAACAGTACAGGGAGGAGGAGCGACCAACCTTGAGATGGGTCTGCAAGCAGTGCATCGACCAGGTGAGAAACGGACGCTTGTTCGTGCTGGAGAACCCCATACGGAGCCGACTATGGGAGGAGGACTGCGTCATGGAGCTGGCTGCCATGGAGGGTGTCTTCGTCACGAAGGTTGACGCAGGCGCTTTTGGAGCCGTGGACTTGCAGGGCTACCCGATCATTAAGACCTACAAGCTCCTGACCAACAGCAAGGAGATCGCAGCTGAGGTGGGCTGGCAGCTCACACAACAACAGCGCGAACAATGCCGTCCACTCGAAGGTAAGAACGTGACCAACAGCCAGGCGTACCCCACCGGCATGGTAAGGGCACTTCTTCGGGGACTTCGTCGAGAAGCCAAGATGCGGAGTGTCAACCGCTTTGACGAGGACGAAGAGGCCCACTCCGTTCTGGCGGCACAACCAGTCGAGGACGAGGCAGCATGGAGAGCTACCCTGGATGAGGTGACCAAGATCTTTCACACCAGCTCCGTGAAGTCGATCAACCTCCCTCACGGTCACGAGATTCATCAACGAGTCGCGCAACTCGTCCCCTGGAAGCTCACTCGGGTGCAGATAGCAGCGACACCCGCATCACGGAGGCTTCCTCGAGACATCACCTACACCCACCGCGGATGTGCTTTGCTCTACAACGATGGGAGCATGACACTGGAGGCGGAGAACCTCTCCACGGTGAAGTTCCCAAAGCAACGTTTTGGGAAGCCAGTTGCCGCTGGCATCTTCTGGCACGGCGAGGCGGAGGAGGAGATTCATCAAGAAGAGGTCACCGATCCAACCTTGCCGGTGCCCGGTCTGAAGACCGACATTACCTTTCCTGGTGCCCCAGCTACGGTCAAGAAAGAGGTGATGACCTCCATCGCCAGGCTCCACATCAACGCTGAACATCCAACGGCAACTGAGATGAAACGCCTCTTGGCCATGCACGGCGCCATCAATGCAGGTACTCTGACGGCCTTGGAGCACTTGGTGTGTGGCACCTGCGAGCGCAGCAAGAAGCCGGACGCTCCACGACCGGCCTCTATCCCCAACTTCATCGAGCGAATCCAATGCGACGTGGTGTGGATACGAGACCTTCAAGGACACAACCACCCCATCCTCGGCATCGTGTGCATGTCCACGAATCTCCAGCAGGCGATCAGGATGGTGTCAAGATCGCCATCCAATGCCTTGGATGGCTTCATCCACGCCTGGCTGCGACCATACGGATACCCGCTATCCATGGAGGTCGACATCGATGGCAGCTTCGCCAGCGAATTCAAATGGCACATAGAAGCCGCTGGAGTTCATCTGGCCTACCTGCCTGCAGAGGCTCATTGGAGGCTGGGGGCAATCGAGAGGCGGAATTCAGTTTTGCGGACGGTGACGGAGAAGTTGATCGATGACAACGGCGTCACCTCCGGCGAAGGCTTAGACATGGTGCTGCTGGCAGCTGTGCAAGCTGTAAACAGTTCGACAAGCTCGAAGGGGAGATCGCCCTATCAGTGCGTGTTCGGCAAGCTACCTCGGTTTCCTGGTGACCTGCTCTCGGATGAGAGGGCTTTGACGGTGCATGAGCCGCACTTGCTGGCCAACGAGCTCAGGTCCCAGGCGTGCAAGGTGGTGGCAGAGATGAAGGCATCATCTGTGGTGAGGAGAGCACTCCTCAGGAAGACTGCGGCGAGCCTTGAACAGGCACGGCAGATCCTGCCAGGTTCCTTGGCAGCTTACTGGAGGTGGAGCCGTAAGGCCTACGGACGCAAACGAGGAGGATACGTGCTTGGGCGATTGGTGCAACACGACAGCGACAACAAGTCAGCATGGCTACACAACGGCTCTTCCGTGGTGCAAGTGTCCTACGAACAACTACGACCAGCCTTTGGCATCGAGTCCTGGTCTCCCACGTTGGACGACATCAAGATCCTCAAAGACGGCGCCCTTCGTCTTCGGCAAGGTCTTTGGGAAGACGCCAGAGGACCAGGACCACCAGAAGGCGAGAGCCTAGACGTCCCCATGGACTCACACCAATCACCACCAGTACTCCACGAACCACAACCACACCTGATGGTCGGTAACCTGTCACAGGACCAACCTCACGAGCAACGACCGGCAGTCATGCCAGAGCAAAACCAGCCTCACGAACAACCACCACAAGCAGACACCGGCGGCGAACAAGCACAGCCACAGATCAGCACCTTCACGCAACAGAACATTCAGAACATCCACCAGCATTTCGCGCCACAGCGCGAACGGCAGCCAAGAGCAGGACCATACGACAGCCACCCGCATGGTGAGCTACTCCCAGGGACACCGGGAGTTGAACAACTGGCGGCAGCAGCAACACCAGCACCAGCAACAATTCCAGTGCATCAGCTTGCAGAAGACATTTACCCACCAGCCGGCAGCGACTACCACACGGACAGCCAACACGCAGCATCGCGCTCCAACGAACCCATGGGCGTTGAGCCAAGCCCCGGCGGGAGCGTTGATGACATGATCGTGCGCACACCATCTGACGCACGGTCGACACAAACAATCACGAGCAGCAACGATGCATCCATGCTGCCTACAGGCACTGGACCCGGCGGCATTTCACAAGCAAGCAACCACACAGCCTTGATCGCACACTGGAACGACGACAACTCCGTCGTCCTAGACTAGAGCGACCGCCCGACAACTGGGACGGACGACCCGAGATGGTCGTGCACGACTACTGCCGCACCTACAGAACCTTGGCAGCCATGGTGGAGGAAGAGATTGTGTCAAGCGACACAAGCGAGGACGAGAACGGCAAGGAACCGAGCATCAAGAAGCTCACCAGACAGGAACGCAAAGCCATGGACAGAGAGATTCCCCTCTGGGTCATCGCCAGAGGACCACGGGATGTCTTCGACCTCTACGTCAAGGCCAACCGCAAGGAGTTCGACTCGTGGAACTCCTGGGGAACAATCAGGCCGCTGAGTGAGAAAGAGACGCAGCAGGTTCTCAACGACAGGATCCTCAAGCGGCGCATCATCCCTGCACGCAACACGTACCGAGATAAGCTCCGTGGTGCCGGGGACCACAGACAAGCAAAGTGCCGGACCGTAGTCGTCGGCTGTCAAGACCCCGACCTCTGTCGGCTGCATCGAAGCTCTCCAACACCGAGCAAGTTTGCAGAGATGACAGTCATCCAGTTGGCCGTCTCGGGCATGAACAAGCAGATCGAGCTCACGGGACTTTCATGGAACCTATGGGCTGGCGACGTGAGCACGGCTTTCTTGCAGGGCGAACCGCAGGAAAGGGATCTGCCCCTCTTCATGAGGGCACCGCGGGACGAGATCCAGAAGGAAGCTAAGACGTTCCCCGCGGTCCTCTACGAAGTGCTCGGAAACCTTTATGGGTTCGCTTCGGCTCCGAGAACGTGGATTACCCACGTCATCAAGGTGCTCACATCCTTGAAGTTCCGTCAACACCGACTAGACCGGATGTGCTTCTACAAACGCTGCACCGGCGGGAACATCCTGGTCATCCTGATAGTGCATGTGGACGACTTTCTTGTCGCCTACCGCGAGGACTATGACATCAATGAGATGCTGAAAGCCTTCACCTGGGGCACGACCACGTTACTTGCCAAGGACACTCCCATCATCTACCGCGGCAAGGAACTCACCCTTCACGAGAACGATGGTGTCTACACGATCCACGTGACCCAGAAGGCCTTCATCGAGGAAATCGAGAAGGGCCAGGTGAAGCGAGGCACCAACTTGGAACAGGACTTGAGCCCGCACCTCCGGAAGGAATTCAAGTCGGTTGCTGGAAGCCTACAATGGCTGTCGGGACAATGTCGACCCGACCTTTGCGCAGTGACTTCCCTGGCCAACAGGGGTAAGGAGACCAAGATCATGGACCTCAAGGCCATGTACGAGGCCGTGGATGTGGCTAAGCAGACCAAGGAGGATGGCTTGTTCTTCCAGGGCATCCCCTTCAACAAGGCCACCGTGCTCCTGGGCTACAGCGACAGCTCATGGGCTAACGCAGAGGGCCACAAAAGCCAGATGGGTACGCTCACCCTGATCTCATCGCCCGACTGCATGGACCACATCAGCAAGGCCAGCGTTCTGGACTCGAAGAGCGGCCGTTCACCTCGAGTGACGAGGTCAACACTGGCGAGCGAGGCCAACGCTATGGACGAGATCGGCGCTCGCCTCTTGCAGCTGCAGGTGACGGACTGCCGGTCATTGTACGATGCTGTGATCAGTGACAACCCCTCACTGAATGAGAAGCGCACCATCATCTCCATCCGCAGCATCCAGGACTACTTGGATGGCAATCGCGTCCACTGGGTGCCTGCCCATAAGATGTTCGCAGATGGCCTCACCAAGGTGCAAGCATTGCTGCAGGAGGACTTCAGAGCTTGGTTGAAGAAGCCCTACGTGCAGCTGTCTCAGCCTGAGGATTACCTCGGCAAGAACGCCAAGGAGCCCCACATCAAGGCGAGAAGTAAAACATAGCAGTGTGAATGTGGCAGCCAATGTGCATGAATGCCGCTCGCCTTGTGTGCCCAAGCGGGCCCCTTGAGTCACTTTCCTTTTCAGACGCGCTGGATGGCGCTGGCAAAATGAGCGCGCTGCTCTAAGGTGGCAGCGATCCCTTGCAGCTTTTCGTTGTCACAAGAGAAACTAGTGCTAATTGCACCTTCATTTTGTTCCCATGCCCTCCGAGCTTTCGAGTCTCAGGTCGAAGGAAGAGGGCTCGGATATGGCCAAAGTGCTGATGAAGGGGCGCCTTGCCAGCCCACCAGCCCATGACACGTCCCTCGAGTACATGGCAAAGGGATGTGGACCCGAAGAATGGAGGTTGTCCTTTCGGTTTCCCTTTCAAAACCTGAAAAGGGTGCGGATCCCAGTAAAACCGCGGCGTTCCTGTTGAGACATATTGTAGATATCTATAGCGTGTGGCAATCTTGCTTTAAGGTGGCAGCAAGGACATGGCCTTCTTGGAAGGTTCAGCCTGTAGGATTGGTACTGAAGGACATGCAATGCTTAACAGCTTTCGCTCCGCCAGGATTCATGGGGGATTGCCTTGCAATGGGTTGGCAAGTGCATCCAGTCATCCACTGTGATAAATCCAAGACTGCGACCGCACCCAATGGTTCCGCTAAAGACTTTGGTCCGTGGCCCTATAGTACCTTTTTTGGGAGGCTTTCAACCTCTTTGGGTCGGTTAAGGCGAATGTCTCTTGGCGTGATCTTAGGGAAGCCAAGCAACACGGTCGTACTGGCAGGAAGTCGGGGGCCTTGGGGACCGCCACGCAAATACCCTCCACGCAGGCGCACCAAGCCGACTTTGGGGTCTTGGTTTCTACCAGGGGATGTCCTGGTGGGACGGTGTTCTCAGGATGCCACGTGGACGGTTCGCGGGGACTCGGAATGTGAGCCCACTTTCTTGTGGGGTTCCGTTTTTCTTGGCTAAAAAAAACTGAAACGAGAACCGAGAAAATCCGAAGGCCCCCTGTTTTGATACCCCAAACGGCCAAATCTGCTTGGGGACCAAGACCGCCTCCCCAACGCCCCCTCAGGCAGAGGGTGCGGCCGGCGGCCATGGTGACCCACACGTGGCGAGCGCGGTTCCGGGATCTGGTGGCAGCAGTGGTGGCGGATGCGCTGCACGAGACGGCGGGGACTTGAGGGAGAGAACGTAGACATTTGGACTTGTGGTTTTGGCAGAATACCCTTCTGGGCTGGTTTGCATGGAAACGAAAGGGAGAACCTGGAAGCCGCCCATTTGATGGGCTCCCTGCTTTTGCACACACATGCACACACCCACATTTGAACTTGTTGGGGTTGCTAAATATACAGCCAGAAGGGGCCCCGAGAAAGTCGCATATGTGCCATGGTCATGGTGGAAATTGGGCTGGGGCGGGGTGAAAGAGGCCAGCTTCTGTTATATCAAGGGAATCCCTTTTTGTGATAGGATTGTAGTGGGGATTCCCACTTTTGTGTTACCAAAAAGGTTGTCTTCCACAACCATGATGCCGAGCGGATATGGTTGTGCGTGTTTTTTGAGTGCTGCCTTTCAGTTGGTCGACAGGGGAAGCTAACAGGAAAGTCAGAAACATGCATTTGGTTGGAAAACAAGCCCCCTTTTCTTCATGGTCTCCCAAGCAAGCATCTGACAGAGTTCCGCAATCGAATCAATATGGCAGTGATTTTTTTGAGGGGTCTGTAGCAGAGCCGCGGCGGACATTCGTTACAGACCTCGTTACAGACCTCTGTAACAAAACCAGCTGGCTCGTTACACACCCTCGTTACACACCCTCGTTACACACGCCCTCGTTACACACCTCAGATGAGCAAACCGGGCCAGTGACGTGACTGCCCTCCTTTTGCCGCAGCTTGGCTTGCGTTGAATAGCTGCAATCAAGTGCTTTGCTTTGCCTTGTTGCGGACCTCGTTTCATAGCCGTTACATACCTCGTTACAGACCCAACCCCAGCCCGGGCCAGCGACCCCGCTTTTTGCCGCAGCTTGGCTTGCGTTGAATAGAGCTGCGGAGGCGTGCTTTGCGTGCTGCGCTTTGCTTTGCCTCGTTACAGGCCTCGTTACATAGCCGTTACATACCTCGTTACAGACCCAGCCCCAGCCCGGGCCAGCGACCCCCTTTTTTGCCGCAGCTTGGCTTGCGTTGAGTAGCTGCAATCAAGCTGGAGCTGCGGAGGCGCGCTTTGCGTCCTGCGCTTTGCTTTGCCTCGTTACAGACCTCGTTACATAGCCATTACATACCTCGTTGTGCTGCGCTACATCGTGCTACTGATACTTCTTGTCAGGAAATGTTTGTCCCGTTGCAGACCTGCGTAACAAGGACCTCCGTGACAGACCTCCGTAACAAGATTCGTGGCGCGTCGCGCGTTACAGACCCCTAAAAAAAATCATAGCCATATGTGAAGTCAGTTCAAAATGAGAGGAATCCCTAAAGTCAGCTTCCCTCCAAGTGGTGGCTTGGTTTAGTGGTTTAGAGGGATGTGGTTTCCCATTTTTTCTCAACCAGAAGAGGGGTTCAAGTCCACAAATCACAAATCCAAACCACCAATTGCGGGTAACCTGATAAAGATTGAGAAGCATCCTCTTGGCTTCCCTTCAAAATCCCATCCCAAATTTCAAAAAGTGTAGCCCCACTGGTGGTTTAGCGCAGTATTTTTAGACATGCTCCAAGCCCTTTCTTAAGGGGATCAACTCCAAGACGAAAATTTGGTTTGGTCCCTTTGCCCCCCCCTCCCTTTCCCACCAAATATTTACCCGCCCGATCGGATCTTCAGAGCAACCCCGCTGGATACCTTTAGGGTACATAGTATGTGACAGGGTTTGCCAAGAGGATACCAAGGGTATCTACGGATGCCAGTGGACCAGCCAGTCTCATCTAACCATGAAGCCTTGATTGTGGTAGTACAGGGTTCCCTTGCCCAGCCGGGAGCCAGGAAACTTGCTGAGTTGCCTTTGGGGCCCCCTGGTTGGGCCAGGAGTACGGCCGAATCGCGAAGCTGTTAGACGCCGACATGGCCTTGGTGAGGCGATGGCTGCGGAAGACATCAGAGCTGCAGACTACCTATTGGATCCTTCGGCTGTGGTGGAAGACTGGGGGTGGAGGGAGCACATGTTTCCCAATTCGGGAGGGGGGTTGTGGTTTTCTACATGGGGGAAAAGGCTGGTTTAGGACTAGGACCTTTTGTCCTGTGATGCCAGGTGAATGCTTTGAGAATCCTTTGTGAAGTGGGAAAGCAGTCATAGGGGATGGGAATGAGAATCCCACTTTGGATCCTGCGCCAATTAGAACAAGCTCCCCGATTCGGCATTCTGCCAGCGTTTCACTCATCTTGAGTTTGGAATCAACCCAGTTTGCCCAAATCCTCGGCCATTATGTTTCCAAGAACACTTCTCAACCCAAGGTATGTTGACAAGGTATGCTGGAGGATTCTTGATTTGTTTCCATTGCGGCCAAAAGCTACGCACCTTGTTCCCTTGAAAGAACTGGTTTGAGGTGGCGCAATTGTGAAAGACATCCTTGGTGCGCTTGAGGAAACATATTGCCCCCGCTAGGGAGGCCCCTGCTTTCGCTTCGGCTCACAAGACTCACTGACTGAGCCCTTGGACTTTATATTCCTGGGAAGGCCATGTGGGTGGCAATCTGGGTGGCAATCAACAAGTTGCTTTGGTTCGGCTAATGCACTCAGCAAGTGAGCAAAGGGTAATTAACAGCCTTGGGTTTTGCGGGCAAGCGCCGGACGAGTGAGGATCTGCGCCTTCTGTGTGAACCAGCACGCCAGCAGCCGAGCAGAAAATCAATGAACTTTGTGCGGGACACTTCTAGAGGGGAACAACCTGGTTCATTGAGGGTTCCCTTGTTGGGCTCATTCAATGCATATCAATTGGACACCATCCAGGGGAGTCTGAACATTTTGAGACCCTGGTAGTTCCTGAGGTATTTGCACTCCCTCTTGGCCCATCTTGGATTCTTCCGGCAAGGAGGTTCCAGGCTGCGGGTGTGAACACCCCAAGTTCTTCAACACAGATCAACCCTGCCGAAACGGCATGAGCATCCCCTGCGAGATGAACAAGTTCTCGGACACTCGGATTGCGCTGATGAAAGATGGCCTGTTGGAGAAGTTTGTTTTGGGGAGACGTTGAAAAAATGACAAAGCGTGAAGGTGCCGTAGCTTGCGAGCATTTGCCCAGCTTGGCAACCTAGTTGGACCTTGAATAGCCCTGGGGCATGAATGTTTTCTCGCCAGATGCTTTGTGCCTCTTGCAACGGACGGCTACTGGAAGGGGATGCCATAGCCGTATTTACCGCTTTCGGAAGTCCTGAGGATATGATCGGCTGGCTTGCAGCCACTGACAGTACCTTCATCCAGGTCATTGCGACCGATTCGGAGATGGAGCTGTTTACCCGTGCCTGGTGTGTGGCGGAAGTCGCCGAGGCTTATATGACGCTCAGCTTCGTTCTGCTCAACTCGCGGAAAGTTGGCCCAGTGGCTGCTTTCGGGTTCTCAAAGCTGCACCGCTCCCTTGATGTCATCATTTGACTGGCGAAATGGTTTGATTAACCAAACGATTTGAAGCTGCCTCAGGTTAGAAATTGGAGGAAGGAGATCCAAACAATTGTGCTGTTGGTTTCCAGCCAAAACCAGCCACAAAGCAGATGTGGCGTGGCTCAATTACCTGTCCAAAAGCGAAGGTCTCAGAAACCTTGGCGATCGGATCCCAACAGGCTATGATGTCCATGGTCCGGGGCCCATTAAAATTCGCATCCAAGAGGTTACTTAGCCCCGTCAGCTGAGGATGGGGGTTGGTCAGAAGTTGAAGATAGAGAGCCAGGCAGCTCTCAAGCAGCGTTCGGCTGAGATGAAGCACCTCATCCACCTGGGCGTGGTGGTTTTCGCGATTATTTGTGTGTGAGTGAGTGAGTGAGTGAGTGAGTGAGTGAGTGAGTGAGTGAGTGAGTGAGTGAGTGAGTGAGTGAGTGAGTGAGTGAGTGAGTGAGTGAGTGAGTGAGTGAGTGAGTGAGTGAGTGAGTGAGTGAGTGAGTGAGTGAGTGAGTGAGTGAGTGAGTGAGTGAGTGAGTGAGTGAGTGAGTGAGTGAGTGAGTGAGTGAGTGAGTTGAGTGAGTGAGTGAGTTGAGTGAGTGAGTGAGTTGAGTGAGTGAGTGAGTGAGTGAGTGAGTGAGTGAGTGAGTGAGTGAGTGAGTGAGTGAGTGAGTGAGTGAGTGAGTGAGTGAGTGAGTGAGTGAGTGAGTGAGTGAGTGAGTGAGTGAGTGAGTGAGTGAGTGAGTGTTTGGTTGGTTGGTTGGTTGGTTGGTTGGCTGGTTGGTGGGTTTGGTTTGTTTGTTTGTTTTGTTTTGTTTGTTCGTTCGTTTGTTTGTTTGTTTGTGTGTGTGTGTGTGTGTTTGTTTGTGTTTGTGTGTGTGTTGGTTTGTGTTTGTTTGTGTTTGTTTGTTTGTTTGTTTGTTTGTTTGTTTGGTTGTTTTGTTTTGTTTTGTTTTGGTTTGTTTGTTTTGTTTGTTTGTTTGTTTTGTTTTGTTTGTTTGTTTGTTTGCTTGCTTGCTTGTTTGTTTGTTTGTTTGTTTGTTTGTTTGTTTGTTTGTTTGTTTGTTTGTTTGTGTGTGTGTGTGTGTGTTTGTCTGTGTTTGTTTGTGTTTGTGTGTGTTTGTCTGTGTTTGTTTGTTTGGTGTGTTTGTGTTTTTGCGTGTGCCTTAAACGGGTGCTCGTTTCGGATGGCTTTGAAGAGAAACCAAAAGGAAAACACCCTTTTCGGGATCCCCTTATTTTGACACACTCACAGCCATTTGCACAGGTTACCTGAAGCATGTTCCTTTTGAGACCATTCCAAGACCAGAAAGTCAGACTCAATCGATATGCCCTGGGGACCAAACGTGTCATTGTTTGTGTTTGGTGTGTCCCGTCATGGCTTGCTCCTCAGCTGGATGGCTCAATGAATCCAGAAGGTTTGGATGTCATGTGATTCATGTGATTACATGTTGTGAACCACCCCTCAAAAGAGTACCAATCATGAGTGAGGAAAGGTGCAATCCATAAAACATCTAGGCCTGAGGCAGAAGCTTATAACAAGGGTTCCTTTCTTCTGCTTTTGCTTAGCACCTCTCAAAGGCTTAGGTTTTTGCAGAGAATGTCTAGGGAGCTACGTCTCCCTTGGACAACATCCTAAATAGAGATTCTCCTGACCCAGCCGTTTGGGTGTTTCTCAAGATGGGATTTTCTTCATGCCCGTCAAAACCTCCGGCAAGGAATTTGCGGATCGAGGACATGAAGGCGTCAAGGGTAGAAGACGTCCAGGAGATTTTGGACCGCATCCCGGAGAAGGACCGACACAACTTGGGCCTACGCCATGATTCAAGCTTGATTCAACCTTAACCACAGGATACCCTCAGAACCTCTACAACATCCAGTTGTTGCTTTCAAGGGTTGCCGCTGCCCGATTCGAGAGGTCAAAACCCGTTTGGCTTGGTTGTTGGGTTGGTTCTGTTCTGGTTTTTTTTATTTCGTTTGGCTCCTTTTGGATGCCCCTCGGTTTGGAAGGTTGCTGGTGGACAAGGGGGTTACACTCCAAAAGGGACTGACCAAGGTGGCGACTCGTTTTTCCTTCCTGGCGGAGGCTCTGGTGTATAAAGTGTTTGATGCTCGATGCGTGTGGTTCTCAAAGCGTTTTGGTGTTTGGGGGTGCTTTGAGCCTTAAATCCTCACCATCCCTCAAAGATTCAGGAAACGTCGGCGCTTGGCCGCTTTGCCCTAGGCTGAGTTCAACCAGCAGCTCCAGCACCTCTTCGGGAAGCTTTTTCGGAGCCTGAGCAAAGCAAGCTTGTGATCTGACCTAAGCTAAGCGAAGCAAGTTTCTTTTTATTGTGAGTCATGAGTCATGATGTTGGGAGTCTTTGGGGGAAGCCTGACAAACCTCAACTGGACCTGACTGAACCTTTTGATCTTTTCAGTTCTCGTTGAAACGGTTTTAGGTTTGCTCAAAATGAGCCAGGTTCACATGAATTTTTGGTTGGGTGCCAAAAGCTGAGGTTGTTGTTGGTCAAATGGTTGGTCAAGGTTGCAGAGAGAACTGCTATTTTTGATCAAGGGTGTTTTCTTGTTGGCGACCAGTTTTGGCCTGAACGTCTTTGAATTCCGGATCCACCTTGTGTTTTCAAGTGTTGCGAGTGAGGAACCTGTGGCAACTGCATCCCTCGGAGAGGGTCAAGATGGCGTTTCGAGAAGTTCGTTGGAAGCTGACACTTCCGAATGCCGATGACAATCAGCACGGCGATGATGAGAACGAGCTTCAGAACGCAGATGTGTGACAGCCTTTTGCGCACTTCCCCAGTTCTGCCGGGTTCCCTACATTCCCCCTCACATCACTCGCAAAGGCATCTAACTTTTTAAGAACCAAGAAAATTATTCCAAAAGAGGACGTCTAGGGAACCCTTTTCCCGGACTGTGCAATTTTTTGGGGGAAGGCACTTTTAATGTTTTGATAGGTCAAAGACCGGATTTCGAGACCTGCTTCCTCAAGGGAAGGCAAAAAGGCGCTGGAAGCGGAGAGACGAGAGATTCGGCAAACGAACATGGTTGTTTTGCTGGTTCTCAGCAGGGAATGAGAAATGCAATGACCCCCATAAAACCATCCCCTCTGGAATCCGATAAGGGAAGCCCTAGTTCCACAACCAATACTGAAGATATAAGCTCCCCCGAGTTCCATATTGACTGCATACTTGGGAAGAGGCATGGCAATAAGTACTGTTGGGAAAGGCTGTGGTTCCATTTCAGGCATTTTCTCGGCTTTGACAAAGTCGGGCGAAAGCAGAATATAAGATGTTGCCCAACAACAAGAGAAAGAGACAGTCAACGATGCGTTGGAATATACCTGTATGTGTGGACATCCATCGTCTAAAGAGCAGCAGGCCGTTTTACTTTAGGATACCTTGACAGGTATGTTGCATTTTTGCACCTATGAAGCATTGTCATGACACAACATACGTAAAGAAAACAATTGCGCTGCTGAAGGTGCATTACCCCCTGTGGTGCAATTAGTTGAGGTGTGCAATCGGTTCAGATTATGCAGTATTACCGCGAAACTGTCATCCAAGGTTTCGGATTGGGAGTGTGTTGAAGCTCAGTAGGCTACCCGGCGAACGTCCCTGCGTCATTCCAAGACGTCACCGCTCGCCCTGTCCGGGTTGTATTGGTGTCCCACCTGTTGCCACTACACATTGCCCGGACGCCTGCTTTGCCGTTTGTTTCGACTTGCCATTTCGACGCTCCTGGTTTGTCCAGCTTGCCTTCACCTGCGGTTACATCTTGGCCGAACGCATGCGCCTCCTCCTGCTCTCATTTGCAGCTTGATGTTGCTGGTTCACAAGGGGGGGAGAACCCACAAAGCCTTATTTTGGCAGTCTAAAAGATACACCCGTCGACCATCGAAGAGGCAGGTGCAAAACCCCTTGCCCCTCCGGCCATCTATGATGGGGCCACTTTTTGTGCAAATAACATCACTGCCGCTGAAGTGTGGACAAGGGGCCCAAGTTGCTCGCATCCAAGACAGGCTAGCACAGTCATGACATACACAATTACATACAAACAAATGATTGCTTTACAAGAGCATGTGCAGGCACCCTGTGTTGCCGTGCTGTTACTACAGGCGTTGAGGTGGTTGGAAGAAACCATCTTGTTTGTTGATAATTGGGAGATGTTTTATTGGAATGATGAAACTATTATATTGTATGAATTTTATTAGAGAGTTATTTATAAGTATATTGAAATTATATTCAGAAATTGAAGAATCATGTGTTATTTTATGAATAATTTATTGTTTGTAATGAATATATTAAATTAAAAAATGATGATCTATTAAATATAACATAAAAGGACATTATGAAAAGGTTGATTTGATGATTTGGGGAATTTTATATTGATTTGTTGTTATATATTTTGTTTTAGAAATAATATTATTATTTTAATAATGAATTTTAATTAAGAGGATTGTTTAAAAGAATCGGATAAATAAATTTGAAATATATTATGTCGTATATTATATATTGTGAATTGTTACAAAATATATATAAAATTTATATAGATATGTTTTTTATATATTTTTTTAATGGAATATATTAAATTTGATATTTAGATTTATTATATATTAAAAGGATATATATTTAATTATATTTCTATATATTATATAAGTAATAATATATATTTAATGGTAAAAAAATATAAAATAATATATTATTAGAATAATTTATATTTCCAAATATTAAAAATAATAATAAATATTTGATTGTTTTTTGTAAAAATATAAATTAAACTATTTAATATTATAAATTTATTATATAAATATAATCTATTTTATATATATTTTGATTTGAATGCAATTTATGTCTTAATTTATATTCGCCTATTTTAGAATTAAGCATATGTTTCTACCTCGAAATTATATATATAAGAATATTATTAATAGATAGTTCCTATATTAATTTTATAAATAAATAATATATATTTAAATTATAATAATTAATTAATTATATTTAATTCTAATTTAAGAAATATTCTTCGTTAATAGTACATATTAAAAAAGATATAAGATGAATTTGGATGATTGGATATGAAAATTGTATTTTTAAATTAAATATAATTATGTTTATTTGAAAATAATTTTATTCTTTTATTTTGATATTTTGTTATTTATAAAAATCGATGAATAATTCGGGCGGAGATATAAGGGTTGTATGAGGGTTTTGTACAGGTTCCGCAATTTGTGTTTATGGATTTTATAAAATTCCATGATTTCTATTTGGAATTTCAATATTTCATAAGCCAAGGAATTTGTATGTGGATTCTAAAAATTCCATAAATTCTATTAAAAAATTGGAAGGATTAAATCTATATTTATAGAATGCATAAAATATTATTTCATTGTTTTTAGTTTATCTTAGAAAGGAAATATATTTAAAATAAATTATTTTAGTTCGTTTTGTATTTTGTTTTATTTGATTATTTTGACCTTGTGGTGCTCAAACGAAGGGAATTCTAGTATAGGTAGAGCAGTTAGTAGTAGTTATCATAAGGCGGTTTGGGGAGTTAAGATTCTTATAATGTGTTTAGTTTGGATTATGCGGCAATTTGTGTGTTATTATTGGTTAATGATTTATATTTATATATATTAGGTTTGTTCTTTTCTAATCAAATAATAAAAAAAATAACCTAATATATTTGAGTTCGTCGAAATACATTCTTAAAGAATTGTTGTGTTTTTGTATTAATGTTATTGTATATTTTATTATATTAAGAACATAAATTATTCGGTGTTAAAAGAATAATATTCAAATCGATAAATAATATATTTAAATATATATTTTTATTAATAGAAAGTTAGAAGGAAAATCCGCAATATTATAACTAATTGAAAATCAATTCTCTTACACAAGATATAGAAAAAGGGATAAGCCCGCGAGAAAAATTGTGCGCGCGTGTGGCAAGGGAAGAGAAAGTCGTAAAAGGTGTGGCCCTATGCGTGAATTGACGTCTCCGGAGTTGCGAAAGCTAGCCCGTTCGCGGCGTCTGGTCGGAGCGGGTTCGGAACATGTTTAGAGCGGTCTCGGACTACGTTCGGTGCCGGGCCCATTGGCACGGCAATACAAAGGTTTCGTAAGGATTAAATTAAATGGCAGGTACAGCACTTTGGCAAGGTCTGGCGCAGATTTCGTGGTAGGGGCAGCACTTTCGCAATTTCAAGTTGCCCAAGGTTTGAAATACGTGGCAGGCGTAGTACTTTCATAAGGTCACATACAGATTTCGTGGCAGGTGCAGCACTTCCGCAAGGTCAAATACAGATCGCGTGGCAAGCAAAGCACTTTCGCAAGGTCAAGTACAGAATTCGTGCCAGGCGTAGCACTTTCGCAAAGTCAAGTACAGAATTCGTGGTAGGCGTAGCACTTTCGTAAAGTCAAATACAGAATTCGTGGCAAATGTAATACTTTCACAAGGTCAAGTACAGATTTCGTGGTATACGCAGCATTTTCGCAAAGTAAATTTTTATGCTCAGGGTTCGAAAATCGCAATTTTTAAGTTCAAAAAGTAGTATGCGAAATCAATTTTCATAGCTACGCTCCAAAATCACAACTTTTAAGTATAAAAATAATACATAAAATCTATTTTCGTAGCTGGGACTTAAAAATCGCAATTTTTAAGTATGAAAGTAATAGGGTTCGAAATCGCAATTTTTAAGTATGAAAATAGTATGCGAAGTCTACTTTCGTAACTAAGGTTTGAGAATCTCAATTTTTAAGTGCGAACATAATACACGAAAAATCAATTATCGGGAATTAAAAATCACAATTTTTCAATAGAAATATAAATGGATAAATAAATAGAGCCATACACAAATCCGCCGACCCCTTCTCCTCAAAGGGGGAGGCGCACGGGAAGGGTGGTTACAGCACAAGTCCAAGGTTGGTTGGTAAATGAGCATAGTCGAAGATTCAACATTATCAGCGTAAACAATACCGTCATCGTAGCAGAGGGTGCGTAGTCATGATTATCATCATGACTGTTGGTGATGCAGAAGATGCACGATGATGGTTATCGTCCATGATGACGATGACGATGATGATGATGATGCTGATGATGCTGATGATGATGACGATGGTGATGATAACGACAACCATGGTGATGATGACACGCTCATCGTCATCACATCATCATCGTTGACGATGATGATGACGATGATGACGATGATGATGATGACGATGATGCTGATGATGACGATAATGACCACCATCATGGTGATGATGACATGCTCATCATCATCACATCATCAACGTTGTGACCTGATTGGAGATGCAGAGGATGCGTAGACATGATTATCATCATGACTGTTGGTGATGCAGAGGATCCACGATGATGGTTATCATCGATGATGATAACGGTGATGATAACGATGACGATGACGAGGATGATGCTGATGATGATGACGATGATGATGATGATGACACGCTTGTCAGTATATCACATCATAATCGTTGTCGTCCTTATCTTGTTAAAATAGGTTTCAAGGGTAGCGTTAGACCCGATTGGAGATGCAGAGGGTGCGTAGTCATGATTATCATCATGACTGTTGGTGATGCAGAAGATGCAAGATGATGGTTATCGTCCATGATGACAACGGTGATGATGACGATGACGATGGTGATGATGATAATCACCACCATCATGGTGATGATGACATGCTCATCGTCTTCGCATCATCATCGTTGTAACCTGATTGGAGATGCAGAGGATGCGTAGACATGATGTTGTCGTCCTTATC